GGGGGGGGGGGAGCGAGAGAGGCAGAGACAGAAATAGAGGCGGAGGGCAAAGAATGAGTCGTATCTGTCAGTGATGACATCCCATGCTCTCGCCCCCTCACCTGTGGGGCCTAACTGATCGGACAAAAGAGGGGAGGGTGCTCGTGCAGTCCGAGCACGTAGAGAGAGAGGGGGCGCGCCGGAGGGGGAGAATCGAAAAAACGGGAGTGAGGGTGAGAGGAGGGGGGGGGGGAGGACTTTGCGAGGACCTTCTGCTGCAGGAAGCGATGTCGCCACTTCGTCAGACCCTCGTTAACAGTCGCCCCAGGGTCGTTCGGTCGATGCACTGATCCACCGCCCCCCCCCTTACCCTCCTCATTTCCCTCGCCCTCCCCGTTTCAATGCGAATACGTGTGCGTGCGCGCTTTAAACAAAGCCCGATTATTCAAAAATGTTCGCATGTTTACGTAATGCGGTAAAATCAGCCATGATTTTCTTTCTCGGCTGGAGTTGCATTGCGAGAGGGTTTTGCCCCGTAGCCTCGAGCACAGTCGCTGGGGCAGGGAAACGCGACAGTAAGAAAAGAGAGAGAAACGGGGGGGGGGGGGGGGGGGGGGGGGGGGGGCAGAAGGAGTAGGGAGGAGGAGAAGGAGGAGAAGGAGAAGGACGACGGGGTGACGGAAGAGTCACGTAATGAGAGCCGGGGCGGGGCTAATTTAAGCCAACGTTTTGTCCAAGCTGGGATGTAATTCGGTCACAACTTCACGCACGCCACATTGTCTGCTTGTTTGTTTACGACTTTGGCCCCATTAAGCGCGCTTACATACCTTAGAATAAATCACTGGAAAATTAAAAATGAACTTTACAATAAATTATTTGACTGCGTTGTAATTTTCTTTCCTCGAGCGTGTGCAATAATTACAAAAACATAACAGAGGCTTTGGAAGGGGGAGGGGGGATGGAGAGAGGATCTGGGCGTTCTGGTAAAAAGGTGGGGGGTGGGAGTGAAGGGAGGATCAGGATGGCATACAGGTTGCATCGGACCCTTACCTCTTTATAGGGGTGGGAGGCTGAGAGAGGCAAATCGACCCTTGGCGGGAGCTTGGCGCGGGGCTCGGTTTATACTTGCGCTTGTGTGTGTGAGAGAGGGGGCCGACCGGTCTTTGGCTTTTACTTGGCATATTGCATAAGGCGCCTGCCTCTCGGATATGTGTCAGGTCAGGAAAAGTCAACAGAAAAGGAATGGTTGTCATACATTCTTTTATGGAATAATTAAAGGGTAGGTTTTTCGTATAGAATAGGCCAGCCGTTATAGTTCAAAGAACGCCCCCGTGAAGTTCATGGTGTATTTTACAGCAGTTTGGCGCAGGGTAGCGGTGTGGGGTGGCTGCTGCAGGGCTGCCAACCCCGCAATCACTACCGTCCCCCGAGAGTTTTCTCGCCTCGGCTCATGAATATTCCGCCGCCTTATTCGGATGGATGCGAGTTTATGTAGTGCGGCTGGTACCACTGAGACGACCCC